GTCAAGAAAGCTGTTCGAGCATCGAGACAGTTGATTTATTGAACTGAGATTCAAATTCATAAAAGTGTTCATGGTCCTAGAAAATATTAGCGAACAATAAGTGACAATTATATGGAGTGTAAAGAAATCACCTACCCCTGACGCACGACTGGAGGTGACTAAGCAGGTCTCTCTACGCCGGCACCAAAACGATACATCGATTGATTGATCGATTTTTCATTTATGTATCAAGTTTCAATCAGTTGTAGACTCATCTTGTTGCCGGCGTGGGTGAGTTTCTTAACGGCTATGAAGTTGAACTCATGGCCCGTTTCGTAGTTATTAGCAGCAACTTACAATATTTCGTCGGCATGTCACACAAATAGTTAATGTTAATGTATGCGCGATCCGAGCATGCGTTCATTTTGACCTGTTTTATTATAAAGTCAGCTTAGGTATGAGATGCAATACATTACCGCAGATTGCTCTTTGAGATTAAGTCGGTCCTTGAGTTTCATTAGCCTGTTGTACACAATATCTTTGTGTCGGTGTGCAATTCTAACACCTAGTCCCGCAGTGATGCGCCCATTCACTTCTGAGACGTCCCTGATATAAGGCAGAACGTGCCATATCCTTGGTGGTTCTTCTGTGGGGGTCCTCCAAGGCCGAACGCGTAAGCATCAGCTCATAAACACCTTCGGATATATATCCCGCACAGATTGGTCGCGAAAATATGGCGTCTCGTGTACCTTTTCCTCCGGGCTGCTGCAAGGAGTTTCAATCCACTTGAAGAGCGTTCGCCAATTCATTTGGATAAAAGAAGAACATCCTGCTTGGTCAGATAATAGTTAACAGAGAACAGACGTGGAAAACTGCAAACATATTATATCGCATTGTGTTTTCTTAAACAAAGCACATCGGATTACATGTTTACTAGCTTCTTATACTTTGCATTTTTTAATTAATCTTGTGAAACGCAACCTTCATACTCATACGGTAGCTGCATACATTGGCCATGCTCGGTAGGCGAACCTAAGGCTATATCAGCCGCCAAATAAGGATCCTATTACAAATCGAATGATAACTTTCTTCAAAACGGTAATTGAGAAGATGCAGTTAGGAGGTAGGTGAATATTTCGTTCATACGTTCTGGAAAAGTAATTGACTTTCTACAAATGCCGCAATTCGATAAAAAGTGATACACTATGCAGATGACACTTTTTCGTGAATGAGATTACCACAATATACATTAGTTTCCCTTCGAAAACCAGCACCCCCTACAATAGTAACGTTATACAACCCCGTCAAATTACTATTCTGAATTTACAGAGTTTTGCAGCTTGTCATGGCTACCGATTTGTGTTCAGTAGTTCGAATTATTTTAATTAAACGAATTACAAGTCGTGAGTGTCTACGACTGCCTCTAGAGACAATCTAAACCGGTACGTAATTTATTTTATATTGGCAGGCAAAACTTGACGGGCTGAACAGCCAATGGGAGGATTTCTGCCAGTTAGTGGAGAGTATACAGCGTTTCCATGATGATGAACTTCCGGCCTGGTGGCAACGTACAAGCGGTCAATCGGCATCGACTAGTGCTGCAGCGAACGCCCTGTCGATTGCCAATGCTACAAGCCTTGAGGAAGTGTCAAGAATGATAGCCTCTACCACTACGATGTGTCAGAGGCTCAATGACAAGAAGATGGAACTCTTGGCATCGAGCCGTCGGTGAGTCTTACTTTCGAATGAGATTTACTATGCTCTGTACTTCTTTCAAACTGTGCATTTACGCAATCATGGAATTTATATTTAAACAGTATTTGTTGCTCTTACTACAAAAAGGTTGCGGTAACCATTCGTTTGGAATTGTACTGAAAAAACTAGAAATCCTTCGCGTTCATCCGGCAATTTTCGATTGAACCGCACAAGTCAACAAGGTCGTGGCGTAGTGGGTTATAGCGTTGTACTTCTAATCAACAAGTCTCGGGTTGGGGTCGCCGTTGGTGCACTAGCTGAGCACACAATCGCTTACGATGGTCGAACTAACACCTGAGGCTGGACATAACCAGCTGCTGATGACCAATAAGCCATAGATGACTATTCCAGTTTCCCTTATCTGTGTCGGCAATGATCACCTTTCGTGTTTAATTATGTTCGCGAAAGATGCCATTGCATGGCATTCATGTTGACAGTTGTGTAGCTTTTTGACAGCTAAAGCACAGGCACTTTTGGGGCTTGTATTGAGTAGGCTGCGCAGATGATTAAAGATACGTGCGCAACGGACAGAGGAATGCTGAATTATGCAACACACGCGGGGCATCTAAAAGTCAAGATACTGAAAACGCAAGGCAGTTAGTCAGTTTGGCGTCGTTTCTGACTTGGCTGCGGGCTTATCGCAGGTGACTAAGTAAGTTAAACCCTAGCAACTGCGATCTTCAGGCCATTGTTTCTTAGTGAAGGAGAAGTGGGTAGAGGCCAGAATGTTAGAATTAGTTTATTGTGTACACAAAGGAACTGAGAATCGATGGAAAGAAGTTGGACTTCGGAGCACACGTCATTCCGCTGGAGCGCCGTGGTTCTAAGTGACGTCTGGTGGCCAAGAGTGGGGAGAAAGGGGCATGTTTGATGGGTGCTTGGGCAGCCGCGAGAACCTAGACTCACGTGTGTGTTCCCGAGTGGAAGTAGGTCAAGTCTCTGCAGGTCAGCGCATCTGTAAGCGCTGACTGAGTTATTGGATGACCCTGAGGCAGCTGGCCTTGAACAATGACGCCGGACAAAGCAATGAAGGGCGTCGGACGGCAGCGACCACTACAGGCTAGTCCCGAGATGCATCCTTGTTGATATCGTTGGCATAGTGATCTAGCAATCGCCTGTTCTATGAATCAGCAGTTTTCTCCGATGTGGTGATTTTATTGGTCACACAATGGTGGTAACCTAGACACATGTTTTGACCCCAAAATACGCTTAAAGACCCGCTGAACGCAAGCCCGTTACTCAAAAGTGGCGCGTATGTTCACGATAAG